CCAACAAACTAATCTGTTCTCAGGTGTTCATCTTATGGTAGATAGGTAAGTTAATTAGATATCTTGTAGGCCATCAGAAGGGCTGGCCTTCAAGGAACCCACACAGGGGACAGTCAAGACTGAAGGCCAGCACTGTAAAAGAAGAGAGACTACCACACCCATATGCTTCCCCTAAGCCTCGTTAGCAGTCACTGATACTCTAAATAGTTATTGATCACCTGGCTGGGGGTCCAAGATCTTCCAAGAAAGATCCGTGACCCACCCCTAACCACTGAAAACACTTGTGCATTCCTTCTGCGGTTGCTAGAACTTGTTTCCACACTGGATCCCCATTTAATCAATAATACCTAAGCGACTATGCTTGTCATGATCTTATTAGCTGTTTATAGTTTTGTCCGCCTTGTGATTTCTTATCGGATTAGTATTACCTAAGCAACTGTGCCTGTAATCTCACTGGTTGACTTTAGTTTTGTCCCACCTTGAACTGGCCTCACCTTGTGGCTTTGTCCCGTAAAACAGCTTTGAGAAGCAGGGTAGTTGGGCAACTCACTTTCCAGTTCCCCTTCTGTCTCTCTTCTGTCAATAAATTTTTCCTACTCTTAACCTCTATTGATCCTAGAATTCATTCTTTAACAGGAACTGGAGTTTCAGATATCTAGCAGGCTTGGGAGTGGCATCTACTTCGCCTATATCAATCTGATAGTGAGAAGTTAGGGAGAAAGTGTGACACATTTATCACCAGGCCACAAAACAAAATTCAGAGTCCGCTGCCCATCTCAGAGGCTGAGCCGTCATAGGTGAGGGTATAGAGTGGCATCATTTACTGTACCTTCGTTGGGGGGTCAGCAGCATTGCCCATTGGAATTCTTCTCACCTGGACCAAATACCTATCTCATTCATTCAGGGTACCCAGAGTTGAGTCCTAAGGTATTATTAGTTGAACAATCTTTTCAGGGATTTTCAAATACACCAAATACACCCTGCTGAGTTGACGTACAGGTATGCAATGAGTGGAAATAGGTCTGTGAAAGAGAGAAAATGATTACCAGTGAGAAAGCGGCTCATTCAGAAACTTGCACTATTTATCTTTAAAAGTCCTTTCATTGGAAGCTAAAATTAGTTGCTATTTAATAGCTGTGTATGTTAAAGGTAATTTTTATATCTCAAATAAGGTATTGAGAAACTCCTCTAAAAAGGGGCCCAGCATTTTAGCCTTGGTGACTGGGGGTGGGCAGCAAGAACTGCAATCCTATGAAATGAAAATTAGAAAGGACCTTTGCTTAAAGATAAGACTGGACAAACAGTTCTGACAGCAGTAAGGAAGAAGGGTAGGTTGCCGGGGATTTGGCTCAGTGGTTCTGCAGCCTGCCTCACAAGCTCAAGGGCCCAAGTTTGATCTCTGGTACAAAAGAAAAAAAAAAAAAAGGTCCAGGATCCCCGAAGGGTGAGGCTGTCCACAGCCGCAGGGAAACCAGGACCACTGGGCCAGTGAGAACTAGGGGTTCACAAGCCTGGGGCGCCAGCGGCCACATGGGGCTGCAGACTTAACGTTGAGGCCCACACGTGACCCAGTTCTGGGACTGTTAGGAGACCAAAGTAAAGCAAGGGTTTTCACATGATTAAAAAAAGGAAAATATGATCAATGACATTAGAAAGGGAACCAAACATTTTTTAAAAATTTAAACTATCAGTTCAATAATGTCTCTTGCCACCACTATTTTGTTGAGTGCTCTTTTCTTTAATAGGTTTTTTTTGCGTAGAGCAATCTGGGCTCACAACAAGGTTGGGCAGAGGATACCCAGATGGTCCTACGCCACATGGGTGCACATGAGCCTTCCAGGACCAGGGTCTGAACTGCGTTCTCTCCCTGGAATCCCCATCAACGCCTCCTCCCATCTGGTTCCTCAGTGTACGTGGCTCCCTCCGGGCACTGTGTCTTATAGGTGTGGACAGATGTGTAACAATGTACACTCTCTGTGCCTGGATCCCTCAGAGCAGTTTCACCGCCCTGAAACCCCCTCTATTCACCTGCCACTGGGGATTTGCTTTCGTGGCTGATTCATTTTTGGTTTGGACTTTTAAATACATTTTTGGTATGGCTGAGTAATCCTCGCACCAATGAAATTCCATCTCTGGGTCCTCTTCCCTGAGATCCCTACTGCCAAAAGCCATTTCATCATCAATAGGAATTCTCTGCAGTTAAAAATGTTTGGTTTTGGCTTTATGACACAGGGCCTTGCTGTATATAGCTGAGGCCGGCCTCAAGCTAATGGCCATCATCCTGCCTCAGCCTCCCAAGGGCTGGGATTACAAACTCGTACCTCTGCACCCTGGTTTCTACCTTATTTTAGACACAACACATCCCAAGGCAATTTTACCATTTTATGCCTGAACTTTCTCACACATTTTTATGTCCTCATACCTGGAGTAACACCATATGGACTTCTAGTTATTTCTGCTTAAAAATCCTGCAAGTTTATTTTCTTTCCCATCGTTCACTACTTCCAAACCCAGTATTTCTTTCTCTTTCTACTGCCAGAAGGGTTGTCTGGGTCACCTGGTATCTGAGATCTAGTCATGAGCTACTCCTGGCCTCTTGTTTCCTACTTTGGTTCAAAAAGTAGGACCACATGAGCTTCAAGTCCATTTTTTTCCAAATCATACATTTGACAAAGTCAGTTCTCTACCCCAGACTCTCTTATGGTCTTGTGCTTTGTAAACTTTGGCAATGTTATTTATTTATTTTTGAGATAAGGTCTTGGTGTTAGTTCAGGCTGGCCTTGAACTCAGCTCAATCCTCCCGTCTCAGCCTCCCAAGTGCAATGTTATTTAACTGCGTTATACGTTTGTCTTTTCTTTCCTAGAATTCAGACATCTGTGCTCTTTAATGGTAACAGGACATGTCAGTGAAGGTAGCCCATTGTGTTGACTCCAAACACTTAAATTTGAAATAATTAAATATTGTGTATTAATATTGTGCATTATTAATATTGTATATTAATTATTGCATAGCATTCATTACCCTCAAAAATTCATATTTAAGATAAACAAAGAAGCTACCTGGTTTAACTATTATTTTATATCATTGCTATTACGTACTCTTACTTTTGATACTCAAATATTTCAGTAAATTGTAAAGAATAAAAGATGGCCACTTAAAGAAGTGTAAACTTATTTATTTCTTATTTATTTTTGCAGTGCTGGGGATTGAACCCAGGGCCTTACACCTGTTAAGTAACCTCTATTACTTAAGACCTCAGGCTGTAAACTTATTTAATAAAATTCATTTTTCTTTTCTAAATGTCTGATAGCTTGGCAACATTTTAGAATGTAATTCACAAAATACCAAGTTAGTGTCAAGATTTCATTTTAAGTAAACATTCATGTTCTGAAATGCTTAATATTTTTATTAGCGCCTTCCAATCTGGCTGCGGGTAACTGTCAGTAATAAAATATGTCGCCAGAGTTTCTGAAAGGCATTGGCAGGAGGATCCTCGGAACTATGTACATGCTGGATTCTCCCGATGCTACCTACAAGCCTCAGGATGCACTAAATGGCATTCATTCCGGGAAAAACTCTCCAAGAAAATTCTTCTTTTCACGATTTCCTTTAGAGGCTATTACATTTAATGTCACGGAGCAGTAATAAGCCTAAAAATCAGCCACCTGGAAAGTTTGGTTTTGTTTTAAGACTCAAAAACCATTAGAAATAGCCACCAACTTCACTAGGGATGTGTTTAGTTGAAACACCCGACCACCAAAGGGTAAACAACCCACGAAGCCTTTTTTTCCGCGGGAAGAAACGATACAATCCTAGGAACCCTGCGCCATGAGGCCCGGAGAGCAGCCTCCGTCTTGGCGGGGGTCCCTCAGCCTCCTCAGAGGGGACACACTGCAGCCTCCGGTGCTGAGAGAGGGTTAGGATCTGAGCCGAGTCCAAGTGACAGCGCCGGGCTCTCATCTGGAAGCTGGGTGACCAGGTCCTGCCCCTCGGTGTAACTTGGGAAACTGAAAGACTTGGAGCGCACAGTGGGGAAGGGAGGGAGGGAGGAAGCCTCGGCCGCAGCCCAGGAGGGGGTCGTTGGACAGCTCTCCACCGGCCCCCAAAGCAGCCGGTCCGCCCGAGGAAGAAAGTGGCGCTGG